TTTTTTTTTTTTTTAAGTTTCCTATATAGAAAATCTAGTTGAAGATGTTTTATGAGCATGTAAGCTGTTCCGGAATAAGAAAAGAAAATGGACTCATTAAGGAAGTCAAGCATATGGGTGTCGTGACCTGACTAGTTAGTAAGCAGAGAGAGGCCTGACCTCTCCTCCTGTTCCAGGTGACACATCTTCACTGTACTCTGGTTTCTATCAGGTCACAACGACCTGACTGGATTTTGCCAGTGGGCAGGCAGGAGAATCACTCGCTTCTTTCCATGGCACCTCCTCTCTGCCTGCAAGATGGCTCAGGGCTGATGGAGGCTTCCAGACTTCAGAGTTCGTAAACAGCGTTTCTGAAGTTCATCTATAGTGTCATTCTCTCTGTAGTTTTCTTTAATTGTAACATTGGATTATAATTGTGCATGTTTCAGGTGACAGTTTTATGCTTCAATATCTGTATATGCAGATTGTCACCAAAAGTCTGGTTTCCATGTAACACCATATAATTGACCCCTACTCCGATAACCTGATAACCATCTCTCTGTGTTCAGAATCTTTTGCTTTCTTTTGTTTGTTAATTTTGATTCTTTGTATTTCACATGCTAGTAAAGCCATACAACACTGTCTTTCTCCACTGGATTTACTTTACTTAGCACAATCTCCTCCAATTCCACCCATGATGCCACAAATGATAACCTTTCATCTTTTTAAAAATTACTGGGCAGGGCCGTCCCTGGTGGTACAGTGGGTAAAGCACAGCACTAAAAGATAAAGCCACTTCAGCATTTCTATTCCCAGTCCTGGAGCTGACCCACATGGAACAGCAGACCTATCCTGACCCATCCGCTGCTCTCCTCAGCAGTGTACTTCGTCAATCTGCCTGTTCTGCTCCCCACTCTATCTCTGATGAATCCTCTCACCACCCCTGCACCTCTGGTCTGTATGCATACCCCAGTATGTATACCCCAGTTCTGTATGCATAAATAAATAAATATTTTTTAAAAACTGAGCAGTATCCCACTGTGTAAATAGAACATATTTTATATATTCATTAATTTTTTCCCTTGGGCATTTAAGTTGTTTGCTATCCTGGATTATTTTAAACAATGCTTCAGTGAACACAGCTACATAAATATTTTTGAATTAACTTTTTCCTATTCTTTGGCTAAAAACCCAAAGTGGAATAGCTGAATTATGTGGTTCTTTTATTCTTAAATTTTATTTTACAAATGTATATATTGTTTTCCATGTGAACATTTAGAATTTGTTTTTAAGTTTTCAGAATTATTTAAAAATTTTATATACATAATGGAAAAGTGGAAAGTACAAGAATCAAAGAACAAAATAATCTATAGTTATAAGAAGTTTGCATGCAGTTTAACATGTCCTTATAGGTCCTGTGTGCATAGCTATATAATTAAAGCTACATTGAGATTTAATTAAAATTATATAGTTATGGATAATGCCTTTTCATATACCATGGATATATACCATATCAAAGCTCAACCTATGAGTGATTTGATAACCACAAATAAACTATACCAACTCAAGATGGAAGAAAAAACAAGTAATCCCATAAAAGACAAAAATGGCAACAATTTTGTAGATGAAGATAATGGCAAAGTTATGATTAAAGTACTGTACTCCTGGAAATGCCCTGGACTATGGTGATGGCACATGGTGATTTGGTGAAGGGAAACCCAAGGGGATTGCAACTGAGATGGAAAAATGCACAAAAATATGTAAAAATAAACTAATATAATTCAAAAAATCAAAAAAGAAATACTGCACTCCCTTAATGTTTGATTAAAAAATGAGGCACATGATCTTCTCCTGGTCTATAGATTGCCTTTTAATTTTTGTGATGGCTTGAGGTACAATTTTTTTTGTTTGTTGTTTCCCTTGCTGCTGGGGTTGTGTCCCCAAATCTGTCCTTGCAGTTGATGCCAATAGTGAGTCCCCTGTTTTCTGTTAAGTAATCTGTTGTTTCAGGTCTAAAATTGAAATCTTTATAGTCCACCTTGAATTGATTTTTGTTTATGGAATTAAATCCATTAAGTATGGGCCTAATTTCTTTCTTTTTTTGCATCTGAAACTGTATCTTTCCCAACACTTAAGAACACTCATTCATTGTTGGTGGGAATGCAACCTGGTGCATATCAGATGTTTGTAGGTACAACAGAATAATCATGGTCGTTGATAACTGAATTCTACCTTTCCCCTCTCTCTCCTTCTTGAAGATTGATGGGAGAGTGATGTTGAAAGTTCCAACCTCTAATCATGTCGTTGGTTCCCCTGGCAACTGTTTGGCTTTCCCTTGGCATGGCCCCTCCCTCCTTGGAGTCCCGTCTAGAAACTGGCCCCAGTAAACCTCTTCTAAGACTGCTCGTGTGGACTCCTCTCAGGAACACCTTACAGCAACCTACTCCCATCCTGAGGGTTCCCAGAAGTTACTGCATCAATATAAATGTGTGTGGTTAAAAGTGACTTGTTACGAATACCAAATGACATATTTTGCTGCTCATATCATTTAGAAAATTCCAAAGAATGGGGACAAAAACCAAGTGTCTAGTTCTAATTATAAACCACAATGTCACAATTGCCCACTCCCTCCCTATGGGATGGCCATTACCTGCCTGCATCCTGGTCAAAGTTCCTCTGAGGAATGAGTCCTTATGCAGCCCACTCTTGCTGTCCCTCATCCCTCCATTGGGTTCTAATAACTGCTCGCTGCAGACCCCAAGGTGATAAACCTACTCTGCTGTGACTCTGATGATTCTCCTATTGGTAAGTAAATCTTCAAATTGCTCGATCATGCCTTCTGATTCCTCTGAGGACCCTGACTGGTTCATCATTATAAACAGAGTCCACCATCCATCTTCACAGATCAAGATAACTGATGTGATAGAGTCTCAGGTCCGGTTACCAAATGAAAAAAAAAAAAAAAACACACTGAGTATGGAGCCTCCCTGGTGGTACAATGAAGCTATCTGCAGTCATTATAGCACAAGTTCAATCCGTAGCCAAGCAGCTAACTAACATGGCACAGCAGACCTCTCTGTCTCGCCTGCTGTTCCCTTCAGCAGTGTTTTTCAGTTGATACACCTGTTCTCCCTACTTTGTCTCTGGTGAACCCCCTTACCACCCTTCACACCACTGTCCTTTACCCTAGTTCTTGGATGCATAAATAAAATAAATCTTAAAAAAAGGAAAAAGAAAAAACATTGAAGCAGCTGGTGGTACCAGCATGGGGAGATGGGAGACCAACAAGAGGAAGCAGCATCCCCACATGTCAGCAACTACAGGGCTGATGGGACCGGAGGCGAGAGGTGGTGCTCAGTGGGAGTTGGCCCACAGACCATTGCAGGCCATCTCCCATCAGTGCTGAGTCTGACAACCCTGTTCTCTCTGCAGAGGGATAGTAATAAGAATGGCAACCCCATCAGCACATCTAACCAGAATCTGCTAGCCTGAGAGTCTCAGCCCCAACTCCCAGCCAGCCCAGCAACACAGGTCTAAGTACAAAGGTATATCTTTGGACTGAAGTACAATAAGTAAATAACCACAATATGTGGTTGTGAGGAAAAAATGTTCTGGACTATTACTGTTATTGTTAACCACGAAAGAGAAAGGATAATGCTGTCTATGCCTCTGGATGAAAAGCTTTCCCAGTCTTCCCCCGGGCAGGTTTTAATACACACTGTGGTATTGCCAGCTACACTTCCCAAGCTTTCAGAAGCTTTTAAGGTTTTAATCTAGGCTCTTTCATTTTTTTCAACTTTTGGAAAAATGTCTTTATTTCAGATGCTTTGCTACAGAGTCAGATAATTCTCAAAATCAAAGTTTACAAATGATTTACACAGCACACTTATCCATACATATGTTAGTCAGACACGATGATATTTGTGCACAATATTTTAGTAGTTACATTATTTGCAAGCAATACTGAATTGGCAAAAACTGAGGAACTCCCAAAGACTCCTTCTATAACTGGAGCAGCAAAACATAAATTCTTTGCCTGTATCAAAAATTCCAAGGATGCTTTCAGAAAAGATGAATACCATCATGTATTGGCAACAAGAGAATGTTGAGGTCTTGGGAAACACTCTTGGCACATGCCAGTCAAAGCTAGGTACCAGCAGGCATGTTCTTCTTTAGTGCCCTCAGAAGTTGAAGGCCAGCAGTTCTCCAACACGTCACACCATGTGTTGACAAACAAAGGGATGTGCAGCCCTCCAAGAACTGAAGATCTGTGAAAAACACCTTTTCTTTACAATTATCAATGACTGTGGGGAGAAACGGTTTTTAAACCTTTTAAAGGAATCTATCATTTCCTTTCAAAAATATTGAAGTAGCATTGCACTCTAACATTATATAAGTTTCAATTCTGCATCATTATAAATCAACATGTGTACATACTTCACTAACTTCATGATGTTTTATATTTTCATTTTTGTAAGCACAATCTTACCTAAAACACCAAATACAAAACAAAATAGCTAAGCTGACACCATATGCTTAAAATAGGGGATACCCAGAAATTGGCCTGGTGTAACTATTTCCCTCACATTCTCCCCTAGTTTGCTGGGTCTCTGAGGAACACACTTAGAGAAACAGGCAGGCGCTCTGGGCGACAGTAGTCTTGATAACTTTAGTGACCCTGACATCTTTTCACATAATACTTCATATGGTAAGGTCCCAAAGTACCTTACTAGGTCTTGCTCTCCATAGGCAGTGGATCAGAGGCTTTCTTCTCATATATATAGTAAGCCTATTCCAGAAACTCTTCCAGTTTTACCCACAGACCCCTTCATCTTCTCACACACAAAGCCCTAATACCCCATCACCCTAAAACCCCATCACACAACAGCTTGCCAAAGATTTTTAGACTCGAGCAAATGGCAAAAAAAGTTGGATTCTAGGTGCTATATCTTCAACTCCAGGGGGAGGACAGCTTGGGTCTGCTATTGGTCTTTTGCAAGAGACAAAACTGGAGAAGAAAGCTGAGGGGACGGTGCGCCCGCTGGCTTCACCCTGCTGATGTTGATGTTCTGCTTGATATAGCCTGTGAAGCGTGTTAGGAAGATCTTCTGCACTATTCTGCAGGGGCCCACACATGATGGGATCAGGTTGAGGAAGTTTGCCTTTAAGAGAAAAAACATGAGTGTCCAGGAGAGAACAGAGAAGTGACATCTAAAACATCTCAGTTTCTGGGCCCCTCCTTGATGGCTCAACAGGTGAAAGCACAGCACTAAGAAGCTAGCCGTAGCCATTCAGCACAAGTTCAATCCCCACCCAGGGAGGTGACCCAGATGGCACAGTAGACCTCTCCTGACCCGCCCGCTGCTCCCCTCAGCAGTGTACTTTGTCAGTTTGTCTGTTCTGCTCCCCATTCTGTCTCTGGTGAATCTTCTCACTTTTTTCCGCACTTCTGGCCTGTACCCCAGTTCTGTATGCATAAATAAATAAATCCTTTTTAAAAATCTCAGTTTCTACCCATCATCTTTAAAAATATTTTTTCTGTCACTGGTTTAGTTGTTAGTTGATTTTCATTTTTACTTTATTACAATTGTTTCCCCCCAATCCCTTACAACAGGGGAGAAGAGGAGAACAGAACAAGATTCAAAACTGGGGTGGGAAGAACACACAGGACTATATGGTGATGGCACAAGAGTGAATTGGTAGTGGGACGTCCATGGGGATTACAACCAAGATGAAAAAAATGTACAAAATAAAAAAAGACGTGTGTGTATATGTGTGAGTGTGTGTGCTCAAATAAAAATATTTTTTCTAACTGTTGAAATGCTCAAATTTTATAAGTAGTTGCTAAATTTAAATGTCTTGAGACATTTCTCAGCAAGCAAAGTTTTCCTGTTTTCTCAGACACCAAAGCAGCCACTGTGGTATCATTCCTGAGGAAATTCTAAATTAAGAGAATGCTGTCCATGGTAACAGCCCACTCTTTTCTTTCTCTTAGTGAACATTTTCTCTTCTGGGTACAAGATCTTCCCATGTCCTCTGGTTCTTCCTACCAAAGTTCTATTAGAATTAGATTCCCTGAAAGAGTCAAAAATGTTTTCTATCACCTGGCTTGACATTGGAGACATAGCAGGTACCTGAATTTATGAAGGAGTTAACGAACCAAACTCAGCCACAGTAATTTGTAAATGATAAACATGGAGTGTTGCTTTTAAACAGAGGGAAACTGGGATCTCCCTGGTGGCACAACAGGGTAAAGCACTGCATTATGAGGCTCTCCCAAGCCACTGTAGCCCAAGTTCTATTCTTGGCCAGGGAGCTGACCCACATGGCACAGCAGATCTCTCCTGACCCTCCTGCTGCTCCCCTCAGCAGTGTACTTTGTCGATCTGCCTGTTCTGCTCCCCACTCTGTCTCTGGTGAACCCTCTCACTGCCCCTATACCTCTGGCCTGTACCCCAGTTCTGTATGCACAAATAAATCTTTTTTTTTTTAAAAAAAAGGAAGAAACCTCAAGCTGAGGCACCAATGCTTAATTATAAGCATTTCTGGCAGTAAACAGAAACCTTGGAAAGTTTTGTAAGGGAGCAAAATTTGCCATCCCAAAATGTCCCTTGGCACAAGGATTATTTAGGGACTGATTATTTTAAAGAAACAACAGATTAAGGAAGTTTCTCTGCCTTAACTGCCTAAAAAGGATATAGACCAATTGCCTGTGGCAGGAAGGGAACTATTGCCAGAGATAACTACAAAAAATGTGAACTAGGTGTGGTAAACTGGATGGAATTTAGCAAGTCCAGTTTGATCAGCCTATGTCCTTTTGTCTCCGCATTTAATAGCAAATATTTGTGTACCAAATGTTTATTCTCTCATGCTTCCCATCATCCTTTAAATTGTTTTCCACTCCTTTGAAGTTCCAGATCCCTACCCCTTACCCCTAGCTAAGGACAGCCCACAATGGCCTGCTCTTCAGAAGCCTCATTTCTTTGTGGAGTTCCCATACGTAGATAATTAATTTTGTTTTTCTCCTGTTAATCTGTCTTATGTTACTTAATTTTTAGACCAGCTTAAGGATCTGAAAGAATAAAAGTGAATTTTTTCCTCTCTCCTAGCTTCTTCTTGTCAACACATTCTACCTGTATCCCTGTATCTGCAACATGGGCCCAGGCTTCCAGAAGCCAATTATTTTTGTTGACTGTGTGATCCTGCTCTTGACATTACTCAGCTCCACTATTTCCCATAAAACCGAACACTCCCAGCCAGAGAAAAATGTGAACTTTTCAAAGACTGTTCATATCTCTTCAGGCAGCTCAGACCTTCAGATAATTGCTGAGAAAAGAAAAGCAAAGAATTAAAGATGGCTTCTAGGAACCAAAGTAAAATTCATGCACCAGCCATGTCCAAATAAATTTAAATTTACTAAAAGGTCCCCTTTTTCATCTGCAATCTTTCTATTGTTCTCCAACCTAAAAGGACTGTTAGCAGCAACCAGGAAAGTCTTAGTTTCAGACAAAAGGAAATCTAAGCTCTAGCTTCACCATTACCAGCCAGTAGTCTTCAGCCTTCTGATCCAGCACTGAGATTTGGTTTCCTCAGTCATAAAACAGAAGGATGATTTGTCTCACAAGATGATGCTCTGAAGCCCCCACATACCACCGGTACTGTATCTGAGAGGTTCCATCCCCACCTCAGTCCTCACCCTCCAACTATTTAGAGGTGGAGAGCCTCATGTCTGTGCCTCATCTCTATAACAAAAGGATGGTTTGTTTACCAGTTGATTTTACTTGTTTGCCCAAGACTTTAGTTCCAATACTCTCTAAATCCCAAAAAATTCCAATTTAACTTTAATGGCATTAATAATTTATAGCTTTTTGTTTGTTTTTCTCTTTTGCTTCACCAAATACAAAGACTTTTTCTTACTTGTTCTTGACATGTTTGTCAGAAAAGATTAGAATTTGCTACATAAGAAATCAAAAGAGAAAAGTGGGGGGAAAAAATCAACTCTTGACATTTAGAAGATCTTAGCTTTGCAAGGCAGGATATTGCCATAACAAAACAATTTCTAACTCAAGAAGTCAATATCCTACTCAAGAAGTAGGATTCTACTCAAGAAGTCAATATCCTGGAGGCCTAAGACCACAGATTCTCCTGGGGAGGAGAAAAGGGAAGAGGAGGGAAGGGATAGAAAGGGGAGGGGAGAAGCCTATGACTTTGTTTTCAGTATTAGCATGCAATGCTCACTGCACAAGTCCTTTGTTTCATGTTTGTGTTTCTAAAAGTTTCCAGGAATGGTAAGAACTTCTCATGCCAGATGCCATGGAAACTTACTTCCATAGTTGGTGGAGCCCCTGGTATGCAGAAGCAGGCTTGCACTTGTCATAAGAGCCACTGTTTACACCTCAGAAGTCAGCACACCCTTTAAGATAAGATGTTGCTTTTGTTTTGTTTTGTTTTGTTTGTTTTGTTTTGTTTTCTGGGTAGAAGATCATTGGAAACTTACTATCACCAAAAGCCAAGGAAAAATAGCAGCCTCCCAGTGGAAAGCCCTCCATGTTTTGGGTTTGCCCTTCCTAAGACTCCTGGAAATAGTTTCTGGGAGAGAGGTAAGGCAGTCAAGGGTGAGAGCTGCCAACATCAGAGTTATCTATGAGTTGAGCACGGAGGCCTCCAGCAGCTCTTCCCCCTGCTTCTCCAAATGCCTTTCACAATATTTGGCTATATTCCTCTTCACCAGCCTACACATAACCGCTGTCTTTGTCATGAAGGAGTGTAGGCAACTTCCTATGGCTCCTGAGTATAATTTCTGGGGGAGAGGTAAATGAGTTAAGGGTGAGAACTGCCAACATCACAGTTATCTATGAGCTGGCCACTGAGGCCTCCTGCTTCTCCAAACACCTTTTCACAACTTTTGGCTATTTCCCTCTTTACCAGCCTACCCATCACCACTGTCTTTGTCATAAAGGAACACAGGTGACTGTCCCAATAATAAGGAGGAGGCAGCTGAAGCTACCTGCACACCTGTCCTCCTTTCTTTGAGAAAGATGTTATCAATTACCAAGATTTCATGGGCCAGGCAACCACAGGCTTCATCTCCAAATCTGACATAATTCAGTGATTCTTTAACAAACTCGTCAGCAGTCTTGGTTATCATGTTGGCACCTAGGTGCTTTGTCATGGGGGTGGAAACAGCATACGGGGTCAGCACCTACAATGAGAAATAAAGACCGTAATGCAGAAGCCACGCATCCAGCCCTGACAAATTAACCCCCATTTAGTACCCCTTCATCTTCCAACATTTTCCTTCCTGTAAAAGGTGTCAAGATCCTAAATGATAATGGTATAGAACACAGGCACAGCTGGCTGTCGCTTTTGGTTTAAATTTGCTGCTCATTGGAGGTAAAACTTTGGCCATATGACATTATAGTTCTGTGGTGGCCACACCGTCACACTCTTTGAACCTGTCTGGTTGAAATGCACACCAGTGAAGGGGGTGGGGGGGAGCATGAGTCATACTTCAGATTGTGGTCGCCAGACTTTGGAAACAAAACCACAGGACACCCACTTAAATTTGAAGTGAATGAAATGTCAATGGCAGCATAATGTCTGAAGTATTGAATGGGATATACTGATACTAAAAAATTAATCATTGTCTGGAATTCAAATTTAATTGAAAATCTGTGTATATTTATGGCAACCCTATCTCAGAAGTTAATTTCCAATGCATATAACCAAAGTTGGAACAATTTAAAGGACTTGTATTCCCATTTTTATAATTTATTTAGAAGCCAGGCATGGCATATACCTCGTATCTTTCCTGTTATACAAAACTAACCAACCACACACTGAAAATCCAACATTGTGTTTCCACCTGTGGTCTCACCATGTGGTGACCCTTAATGAGGTTCATAACAGGATTTATTACTTTATTCCCAGACAGAGAGACCTTGGCAACTTTTGGAAGAATAAAAAGACCCATGCTCATTTTCTTGGCTTCAGTTTTCTTCATGTCACACTTGAGAGCAGGTTGGTTCATAATTGAATCTAATTAAAAATCAATAAAATCAATTGAATTAGTTCTCATGGAAATTAATGTTGTCATAAATTTCTATAACACTTTTCTTCCAATGGTCCCAAGTGTTTCTCTTGGAGAAATATAAAGAGCATGCACACCTAGTTTCCAGATAGAGAAATAATAGTGTTACTTTCAATTCTAGAATGAGTTTTGGTGGACAATACATAATTATGCGCAAAATGAGAACTCAATAAATACTGGTTAAATTGCATACTTATTCGATCTTCAAAATGATCTACAGAGGTTCAGACAAGTATTATAAGCCCCTTTTTATAGATGAAGAAACTGAGAATAACGAGTTTAAGCAGACTACATGGGATCATTTGGATGAGAAATAACAGAGCTGGGATTTGAAAGTGAAACCCAAGTCCACAATACTTACTACCTTATCTGGTACGAATATTGAGTACCAGCTCTATGTGTGTTTGAAGAAGCCAGTCCTTTTGTTTGTGTTTTTTCAAAAAGACAAGGTCATTAACCTTCTTATACTTGTTTGAAAAGCAATTCCCAGCATGGAGAGCAGTTCCAAGCATCCTCCCCCACCACCACTCACTCCTGCTGTCCCTTGGCAGCTATAGCATCTAGGGCACAATTACCTAGAAAGAGATGATGCTAACACTGTCATGTGGCTAAGAAGCAGTGGCTGTGCTAATCATTAGTGCTATTCACCAGTTATTTCTAGTTTTTCTTTCCCCAGACACATGATAGAATTGCACTTCCTGGATCTATCCTAGTGGGGCCATATAACCAGATTCGAGCAAAAATGACACCTATTTTCCCTCTCTCCCTCCCTCTTTCCCTCCTTCTCTCTCTCCCTTCCTCCCTTCCTTTCTTCCTCCCTTCTTCCATTTTGTCCTTCCCTCCTTAATTTCTTCACAATTCCTCCCACATATGACTGCTTCCTGTACCTAGGTGGAATTAAAGGCTGGTAGGCGGAGTCCCAAGGTCGACAGTGTTTCTGTGCCACCCTCACCCTGCTTCACTTCCTCAGCCAGCACCCAGGGCACAGTTGAGGGTGGCTGCAGGGGGTTACCACCTTGATGGTTACATGATTCCAACCTATCACATCCCCACAAGAAGCCATGGCCCTAGCTCCTTGTGGCTTCAGAGTAGCTAATCCCAAGGACTTGGAACTGTTGACCACACCTGGATGATGATTCCTTTTGCTTTATATTCCATCTGCAGAGCTTTGGAAAATGTATGCACAAAAGCCTGGAGGAAGAAAGAGAAACACCTAAGGACTCAGAGCCTCTTTTTCCATCAGAGACAACTTATTTGGAAGGGTACCACAGGCATTTAGTGCTTTATCATAAAAGGCAGCACTCATTTTCAGGAGTTAGGACTTCATTTCTTGGTCTAGGTGATACTCTCTGAATCACTGGGAATAGACATTTGTGGTAATTATTGACTGAGGTAAACATGCCCAGGGAAGCACATCAAGCCTGGACACCTTCTCCAAGGGCTTATTTTGCTTTGTTCTGTTTTGTTTTAAAAGATTTATTTATTGATGCTTACAGAATTGGGGTACAGGCCGGAGGTGTGGTGAATGAGAGGATTCACCAGAGACAGAGTGGGGAGCAGAACAGGCAGATTGACAAAGTACCCTGCTGAGGAGGAGCAGCGGGTAGCACAGGAGAGGCCTGCCACGCCATGAGGGTCAGCTCCCTGGTCAGGGATTGAACTCATGCTGCAGTGGCTTCATAGAGCTTCATAATGTGGTGCTTTAACCCATTGTGCCACCAGGAAGAGCCCCCAAACTCTTGTTTTTATGATGAGGGTCTGGAGATACCATCTAGGCCTCCAAAATAGGGTTCTGAGTGCTGACTGAATTTCTCTGGGTGCTGCACTTACACAGCTGTGCTGCTGCAAGGCCTCATCAGTCCCAAGGCAGCACCTTTTCTAATGTTCACCCCATCACCTGCTGGCTAACATTTCCTGATGGACAGGCAAATATCTCCATCAACTTACCAGATGACACAAAGGAAAATGTCAGTGTAGGAGGGGAAATGGCAGGAGGAGAAAGGAGAGTTGGATGACCAGCTACCACTCACCTTGGAGGCAGAATACAGGGAATACAGAGGCCAGGGAAAGAGGGCTGCCCCAGAAGAAATGTTCAAGATGAGCCCTTTCTGCCTAAGAGGTAAAGAAGCAAAATTTCAATTGTTTTTCTGCCTATTCACAGCTTAAAAAGAAAACAGAAGGCTCTTGTGAGTGCTGGAGAAACCCCATCCCCTCCAGGCTTCCAGCAGCACTCCAGGCTCTACCTCCGAGAAGCAAGAAGCTGGAGAGGAATGTCCCCTCCTTCAGGGAAAAGGCCATCACATACACTCAACAGTCAGTTGGTGTCAGGGTGTGGAACTCTGCTATAAGACTCCCCACCAAAATACTGAGCACCAGTTCAGTTCAGAAAAGACTCAGGAGAAAGGATGCTTCTTTCAGAAGGGTACCACATGAGTTTAGGGTCCCTGATACTGGTAAAGGTGATGCACAACAGGACAAGTATCATCTGTAGAATGCTGTCTTGGGCGTTTGACATTCTGTCATCTGTTCACACACGCACTGCCACACAGGTCTCTGGGTCCTTACTTATCCTTGGAAATTCAGTGTCCTTAATCTTTCTCAATTAGAAGGCTTCAATATGGAAAAACACAAGACACTGGACATTACAGTGTAAGGCCAATCCTCTTGCCCCTCTAAGGAAGATAAATCTATCAACCATTTACTGTTAAGAATACCACCTGAGAAAGACCAACTTCCCAATGGGTGTTGTAACAAGATTATAAAAACAAGAATTAAATGAAGACATTGATGGGTGGTAAATTTTACCACTAAATTGGAAAATTCATTTTGACAGGAGCTGAATTTCATAATAACAAAGAGATGACCTTGGTCTCAAAGTTTCTTTTATGCTCAAAACAAAGTTGTTTTGTTTTGTTTTTAAATATACTGTATGTTGAAATTGCTATTCTCTGATGTAGCTTACATTTGACCTTAAAGTATATTTACCTGTTTGCTAAGTTAGTCTGCCCCAAAAGTTATGCTCCTCCCATAATGTCTTTTCATCATAGTTAACAGTGTCTAAAGCAGCAGCAGCATAAACCCTCTCCTACCAATCCCATGTCAGCTGACTGCCAGGCCAGGAAGACCATGCTACTCTACCTTTCAAAAAAAGATCTTACCTTGATTCCATGCTTTTCAGAATTAGCTGTGTCATCTATAAGAGAAGTCCAGAGTTATACCAGAGTGAACTAAGTAAAAATGGTCAGGAAGACTTGGGAAGTAGGTGCTGGAGGAAGAGTCTAATCTTCTAGGGGACTTTGGCAACTGCTGACACCCATTGCTGACACTCTGGCAATATGAGTCTAGTTGAAGCCCACTGGTTTCAGAGGCTTTTGGTTTCTTCCCCATAAAGCTAAAGTCTCTCTGGAAAATGAGAGCATTGAGAAATTACAGAGATTGACTTATGGTCATGGGGTCAAGTGTCCATGAACATTTCACATACAAGGTATGAGATGGAGAAGACTACCTCTCCAATTCAACAGATGCCACAGGAGCAGTCTGCAATGGACAGAGAAATAGCCCCTCAGACAGAACATGTCTGTCCACTGGACTCACAATAGTATTCAGAACTCTGCCTACCACCCCACAAGCGGTCTTCCCTGTCAGTCCTGGAATTTAAATATCCTATTGAAAGACTTTTTTAAAACAGTTATTTTTGAAATTTTCTCAAAAGTACAAGTGAGTCCTATCTTGGGAGAAGATTTGAGATTGAGAGGATCCAAACAGAAGGGAGGGACAGAGAAAATTTTTTTAAAACTGAGACTGGATGCCTCTAGTCTATAATTGCCTGATGATTTTGATTTTACTTTATTGTAGTTATTTTTTCCTGATTCCTTTTTTGTTTTCTCTACATTCCTCTATAAGTGAGACCATTCGATTTTTTTTTTGAAATAATATAATAGCTTTTTTTTACATCATTTTGTACATTTTTTTTATCTCAATTGTAATCCCCATGGGTTTCCCATCACCAAGTCACCCATGTGCCATCACCATAGTCCAGCGCACTTCCCTCCCCCCACTATTTTTGATCCCATTCCCTACTCCACCCCCATAAAATGTCTCTGGTATATAGCTGTTCATTATTAATATTATTTTCTCGCCTGGTACATTATACTCCTGCTATAAGCGAAACCATCTGGTATTTTTCTTTTTCTTTCTGGCTTATTTCACTGAGAAAATTCCCTTATAGCTCCATCCATATTGCTGCAAAGTTTATCCTTTTTGATTGCTGAGTAATATTCTGTTGTGTAAGTATACTATATCTTCTTAATCCAGTCATCTTTTAAAGGATGATACAATGAATATATGAAATGAAATAAACAAATAATGTCTCAAAAAATAAAAATAAAATAAATAAATAAAACAATAAGCTGGGACTGGAAAATGAGTGCTTATTTATGTTGTATGAGTCACTGATATAAATTCTCAATCAATCTTTTCTCTCCCATCCTTCTGCTTCATAAGCCAAGCTCCAAATTATCCTCAGAGATTCCCCACAATGTGTCCACTGCTCTGGGAGAAGTGAGGTGGAGAGGAGCTCTCCAGAGGCCACAGGACTGACTCCTGAGTCACTGGGTTTTGAGGGAGGTGAGAGAAGGCTGAGGACTAGATGATATCATCACCTCTTCTCTGATTCTCTAACTTCATTAGAGAAGATTCTGCTACTACCAGCCCATAAGGGGTTAAACACTGTTTGATTGATAACATTAAAATTTTAAAAAGTCACTGGAGATTTAAAACCAAAAGGAAAAATTATGATTAAAATACTCAGAGACAGGGCCCTCCCTGGTGGCGCAGCGGGTTAAAGCACAGCATTAAGAAGCTAAAGCCACTTCCGCATGAGTTCGATTCCCGCCTGCCCTGGAGGTGACCACATGGCGTGGCAGACCTCTCCTGACCCGCCCGCTGCTCCCCTCAGCAGTGTACTTCGTCGATCTGCCTGTTCTGCTCCCTGCTCTGTCTTTGGTGAATCCTATCACCCTCCACATCTCTGGCCTGTACCCCAGTTCTGTATGAATAAATAAATATAAAAAAAATACTCAGAGACTGGCCCTCCCTGGTGGTGCAGTGGGTTAAAGCACAGCACTAAGAAGCTTAAGCCAATTCGGCATGAGTTCGTTGCCCGCCTGCCCCGGAGGAGGTCCACATCGCATGGCAGACCTCTCCTGACCCGCCCGCTGCTCCCCTCAGCAGTGTACTTCGTAGATCTGCCTGTTCTGCTTCCCTCTCTGTCTCTGGTGAATCCTCTCACCCTCCACATCTCTGGCCTGTACCCCAGTTCCATATGAATAAATAAATAAATCTTTTTTTTAAATAAATAAATCTTTAAAAAAAAATACTCAGCGATTTTGATACCATAAGCCAGTCTTATGCCAAAACTTCTCAAATTTGTGGATTGCTTATTTTTCAGAATTGTACTCATTGTTTTACATATGTCTACTATGAAAACTCTATAAAATGCAAAGACATGGCAATTCTTATATGATTCTTTGTACTCCAAATATAAACTTAGTTCCCACCAAAGCAGTAAAATAAAATGCGTCACCTAAAATGAAAAAAAGGTATTATTGGAGCAATGTTGGACAACACCAGCATTGCCAAAGTCTCTCAAGTTGAATCACTAGGCTTATTGGGCAAATGATCCCAATTAACAAGATAACACTGGACTCCATGGGTTCCTGTCTCCAAGTTCCTGGGATTTAGTCTCACATTCCACCTTGTCTCTGCCCTCAAACTCATTCTCCCATCTCTGTCTTTGATAGAGAAATCTACCATTTCTAGATGGCTCCTTTTGGAACAATAAAGCAATGCTAGTCATGTTTCCAACCAGCAGCGCTAGCTGGAGTGTGGCAAACTTAGAAGCGAACTTGTAATTTATTTTCTCTGTTATTTAGCAATGCCAGTGCCTACCGAGATATATTTCTTGAAATATCAAATCAGAGCATTTCATTGCTAAAGGAGTCAGGTGATTGTCAAATACACTTGGAAAACCCTGCGATCAAAAAGACCAAGACTGAAAGAATCACAAAATGTGAAAGATTTTAGCAGTAAGACTGCAGACAACAGTTGGACGTATAAAACTTACAATTACATCAGCTGGGGGCTTTAAAAAGCCATTGATTGCTCAGCATAAAAATAATATGTGTACCCAGTAAGACTGAGCAGGAAACTATAAAATACAAGTATGCTGACAGAGAAACAACAAAAAGTAAAAATAATCATCCTCAGCCCAATTGATCCACTGGGAAATAATATTTTTTGGCCTTCTCAGTATCCATCTTCCCTCCTTATGTTGAACACAACTTATTTAGATGAGACTGAGCTGTTCCCAACCAACTCCATATAAGCAGGGATCATATTTCATTCACTGCTGCAACTCACTGAACTTTCCAGCGTCACCAGGGCTTCCACACGCCGTTATGAATTGTGCTGGGCAAGGTGGACAGCTATGAGGATGAGTATGGGCTGCAAGTCCAGAGATTACTCACAAGCCATGATGAGAGCTCTCGGCATTTAAAGGAAAAGGGGAATAATGTGGGAAGAGCAAAGCACCATCTACTCTCCAAGTCACACAGTATCAGGCTGTGTCTAGTCTTTTTTTTTTTTTAAGATTTATTTATATATGCATAGAGTTCCGGCCGGGGTACAGGCCAGAGGTGCAGAGATGGTGAGAGACTCCATCAGAGACAAAGTAGGGAGCAGAACAAGCAGATTGACAAAGTACACTGCTGAGGGGAGCAGGGGGTGAGACAGAAGAGGTCTCCTGCACCATGTGGGTCACCTCCCCTGGGGCAAGGGATCAAACTAGCTCTGAAGCTGCTGTGACCAGCTTAGTAGTGTGCTTTGCTTCAACCCATATGGGCTCCAGGGAGGGCCCAGCTGTGTCTACGCTTAAGCAGCAACTTTTTCTGAATTGTCTGCCTGGAGAGGACTCCTCTCTTCTTATTAACACAAAGGTGCTTTATCAGCTTTATAGTAGTCACACTGTAATGTCTGTGCAGTTCACTCTAATTCAAGGGCCTGAGTGCTGAATAGCACCGGAGACATCACTTAGTCCAGCTTTTTTAAATAATAGATTAAAATTCTGAAGTTCATGCGGTTAAATAACGTGCCCAACACTGTAAAACTAATAGCTGAGCTAAGATCAGAATATATATTAACTTAAACTTTAATCCACAAATATTTTTTAAAGATGTAATTATTTATGCTTACAGAACTGGGGTACAGGCCAGAGGTGTGGTGGGTGAAAGGATTTACC